TAGAAACCCTCTGAGACAGTTCTACTCTGTCCTGTAGGTTCGTTATAAGTTAGAATTGACTTGATGGCAGTGGGTCTTGCCTAAGATACTGTAATTTGTTTCTAGTTAAAAAATTAGATTATTACGCTGTATTATGACCAATATCAAATAATGATTGAAATGAACTTAGAAAATAAATACAAGTTAATAAATATTAATTGCTGTCAGATTTAAGGTTATCTAATATGCAACCAAATATTAAGCCATGTGCAAATTATACGCAGGCTTATGCTGGAATATTTAAGACATTTTGTAATTCATCAGAAGAGATTTCTTCACTTAGACATTGCTTTCTTTAGCCAATAAGATCTGAAATGATTGTGATTTCTCATTAGTTTTACCACTTGTTTTTTGCTTGTTTTAGTTTTTTACAGGCTGGTGGATTATCATAGATGCAGCTGTTATTTATCCCACTATGGAAGAGTTTAACCACTCCTACCATGCCTGTGGTGTTATAGCAACCATAGCCTTCCTAATGTAAGTGTCATTGTTATGGACACTATTTAACAAAGATTGTCACAAAACAGAAAAATTTTATATATGCAGTGAAACCTGTGAAAGCCAGGACCTGTGTAAGGCAGAAACCTGTTAGAGAAGGGAAACTTAAATATCTGTTCTACTAATAGAGAGCAACAGAGAAGTGGTAAGACTGCACTGTGTTAAAGGCAGAAGAATTGTGAGACCCAGAAAAAGAAAGCAGTCCTATTGAGTTAAGGCTCTCCCAGGTTTCACTGTAATTGTGTAGACTTAAATTTAAAAATGTTATTAAAATAGCATATGGGCCATGGTTAAAGTCAAGCAGTAGTAGAGAGGGCTTATAAAGAACAACAATCCTCTTTTCTATTTCCTCTCTCACTTCTGCCTCCCACCTTCTCTCAACTGTCCTTTTTCTACTGTAAGTGTTGATGACATTTAAGTCAGAGACTATGTACTTTGTCTAAAAGTTTACTTATTCATCCGATAAATCATTTATTAGGCTTTTATATTCCAGGCACTGATGTAAATACAGAAGATACAGTAATGAATAAAACAGGGAAAAATCTATACCTTCATGAAACTTCTCATGAATGGAGCAGACAGTAACTAAAGAGAAATATATAGTGTGTTAGATAATGATAAGTGATAAGGAGAAAAAAATAATGCAGAGGAGGGAGATAGACATCAACAGGGAGTATAAAAGTGTCAAGGAAAGCCTCACTAAGGAGATTAAGAAATACAGGTAGAGGAGCTGGCTGTGGTGATGTATAAGATAGACAAGACACCAAGTACAAAGGCTCTGTGAAGGAAGTTGGAGTGGTGTGGTTAAAGAGTAGTTGATGAGTTCAGATAGTTAGAGCCAAGAAGGGATAGGGAATAGTCTTATAAAGCATTGTAAGGACTTGGCTTCCATTGTAAGATAGAAGCCGTTGGAGGGTTTGAGCAGAGGAATGACATGATCTGCCTTACATTTTAACAGGATCACTTCTGTTGAACAGAAGTAAAAAAAATAAAATCAGTATATAAAATTCACTGCAAAGCCAAGTTACACCAATTTCAATGTCATGACCCCATGCCACTCACAGGAAATTTTTCAAAGGTATTTTTTCTCATTACATTCTTAACAGTTTCTCAAATTCATGCTACATTTTAGTTTGCTTCATAGTTGATCTCTTTCCTACTCAGTATTGTTCATTTTTCCTGGAGTTTCTGCTTTGGAGAATTTTTATTTCTAACAAGTTTCCTGGTGATGCTGATTCTGCTATTCCAGAGACCACAACCACTGCTTTAGGGAATATTTGGTTAAAGGGACTTGCTTACGGTGAACTCATTACTCAAGACCTGTGAGACATAACCTTACATTTGAGGAACTCTAGCTTATTGTATCTGGTAATTTAATGTCATGGATGGTTTCTTAGAGTCAGAGACCCTGATCCTTGGTTTTATTTTATTCATACAGGATTAATGCAGTATCGAATGGACAAGTCCGAGGTGATAGTTACAGTGAAGGCTGTTTGGGTCAAACAGGTAAATAGGTCCAAACAATATCTTATATGTTTATATCCTTCAGTTGAGAATTGTACATGGAAATACCACTTGTGTAACTTTTTCAAGTCAGGGATAAGATGGAGTTGTATCTAGAGTAAAGGTTATACGTTCCAGGGGCCTTTAGGGGGTAGCCTGTATGTTATAGGTATCATAGTCTTGAGTATGTAACCCTGTGTAATAATACATAGATATAAATGCATAAAGCAAACAGTAAAAATAGTGTATAATAAAGAATACATGTGCAAAATTGAGTTTATAGTACTGTCAGTTATCTAGTGCTGCTATAACAGAAATGCCACAAGTGAATGGCTTTAACAAACAAAAATTTATTCCCTCAGTTTAGGAAGCTAGAAATCGGAATTCAGGGCACCAACCCTAGGTGCTTTCTCTCTCTTTTGTCTCACAGTGTAGGAGGAAAGTCATTGTTTCTTTTCAGTGTCTGTGGGCCTGGCATCCCTTGGAGATCTCCATGCGTCTTGGCATCAGTCTTCCCCTGGGTCTAGGAGGTTCTCAGCACAGGGACCCTAAATTGAAAGGCCACACTCCAGTCCCAGCTCTTCTTCCTGGTGGTCAGGTCCCTCCTTCTCTGCTTGAATCTCTTTCCTTTTTTCTCTTGTGAGATAAAAGGCAATGCAGGCCTCACCCCAGGGAAACTCCCCTTCCATCAGATCAAAGCTGTGAGCTGAGTAAGGATGTTGTATCCCACTCTAATTCCCTTACAGCTGATTGGCTGGCTGGTCACATCATGAGGATGATTGTATCATTATATAACTTCCAGATTAAATCATAACATAACTGCCAAACCACTGAGAATCATGACCCAGCCAAGCTGACACATATTTTTAGGGGACACAATTCAGTCCATGATAAGTGCTTAAAACTATACCATATAAATTATTTTCTTCCCTTTTGTTGCCAGCCTTATTTGGTTTAATTAGCATATTGTAAATTCACAGATAATGAGACTCCCTTCCATTTGGGGAGATTTTTATAATTGTAATTGTTCAGGGATCTGTAGAAGACATTTCCTGAGTACAGAGAAAATTTGCTTATCTTTTAAATAGTTTAGAATCACAGACTTTACTGCTAGGGTTCACCTAGCCCTTCTCTACTGGGGAACTTGTATCTCCTGGATTCCATAGCTGCATACTTGAGATAAACAAAACACAGAGTACATGCAGCACAGAGAGGCCAGTTTGCTCAAGGATTTGAGGGGGCAGATATTAAGCAATTTAAATATTACATTCCTAGAAAAATAAACATGGAGGTAGACAAATTTGAACCTTTTTTTTAAAGGAACAAAAAAACTGCTGTAGGCAGCTTTAATCTGTGCTCTCAGACTCTTGTTCATTCTTTTACTACATGAACTAAAGAAGAGATACAGAAACACTGATCTACCATAACCGTGTAAACTCTAAAAGAATAGATAAGTGTTAGTAGTTAGCATTGATAATAATAAATTAATAATAGCCAGAGCCAAGACTGGGATAGGGTCTTGTTCACATCTAGAAATAAAATTTGTTAGCTAATCGGGCACAGCTTTGGAGGCCCAAACAAAGGCCTAAGGTTTATCTGTTTTAATATCACATCTTAGGAGCAATGGCTTATTATTTCAGAATTTGTGTTTTATGTTTTGGGAATGAGATTGGAAACTAATATATAACATTCTCTTTGCTGTGCTTTATTGAGGCAGGCAGCATTGTTATTAAAATGTATTTGTGCTAATTAAAGAAATTTCACTTATCTCAGAATTCACTTTAGGCAGTCTAATGACTCCATTTCTTTTATAGCAAATCTTCATAAATATTACATAAATGTGATTTAAAAGGTGATTGTGCTCCTCTGTTAACATAACTTTAATGCAGTTTTCCTAAGTGCTAGCCATAGTAAATTTGGATTTGCTTTGCTGCTTGATTTCCCTGAATTTGAAATATGGGATCTTTTAGATTTATATATCACTGAATTATTTCTTTTTTGGGGGAGGTGTCTTGTCTGAAATCAGAGAGCTGCTTTATGATGCTGCTGGGACTCGATGCAGACTCTTGCTGTCCTTTCCTAGGACAGCATGAATATGATTTTCAGGTATATTTATTTAATTGTTTGAAAGTTCTCTTGGAGAATAAATACACTTTGGAACACAATTTCTAAAAAGATACGGAGAATGAGCTGCTAATTACAGTAAAAACTATTTTGTGAGATATTTTATAGGAAGGTTGAATCAAGTTTTTTCAGTATAGGTAGTTGGGGAAAGTAAATACTCAGAGTATACAGACTGATCAAGAAGAACAAGGTCTACACGGGTAAGAGTTACTTAACATGCCTTCTTCTACCTACTTATTGTAGACCTGAATGGCAACTCTGTGTTTGTTTGTCTGGATTTTTGTTTTATTTTTGAAAAGTTTAATTGTACGCAACTGGCCATATGAGAAACAATCCTGGTAAAATGGTATTTCTTTCAAGGGGCTCGCATTTGGCTGTTTATTGGTTTCATGTTGGCCTTTGGATCTCTGATTGCATCTATGTGGATTCTCTTTGGAGGTTATGTTGTTAAAGGTAAGAGAAAACAAAAGTACTTTTTTCATACACATGAGCCAACTACTAACAATGCGTTTATGCCAGGGAACTTTCCTGCCTCATTAACATATATATATATATATATTTTTACACAGGTTTACACAGCAGTTTAGGTTCCCATTCAGCAATTTATACACAAATTATTCAGTGACATTGGTTATATTTTTCACAGTGTGTGCCCTCATAAATATTTTGTTTGCTTATTTGTATGTTTTTAACATCCCTTTTCTTCTGTATTTTTGGTTCTAATCTAGAACCTTGAAGTGATGGAGCACAGCTCCAAACCTTGTTCCTGGTTTCTCTTTAATGTCCAAGCACCTTAGGCAGACCATATGTGTGTGTGTGTGTGT